TATTGAAAGAAAGTCGTCGGTCTGCTCCCGAGGATGTAGGCATCTTTGCCGAACCTAAATCTCTGTGAAATCTCTGTGTGTTATTCTGGATTTGTGTCGATTTCTGTTTTTCTTCGCCCTAATTTATCAACTGTTTGATATGTATGCAAATACCGCTAATTATTAATTATTATTTTTGTTATAATAATATATCAAATTAATTCAAGTAATATGTGATTATTTAACTATGTACTAACTTATGGCTTCTCACATAAACCAACATTTAAAATTAAGAAAAGGGACATTTACATACATACCACGTAATTCTTACGTATTACAAATTTAACACCTGAACCTTCATATTTACATACATACCACTCAAATCAGTCACATTTCATCAAAAATATCACCATCATTGAGTTCTTAAAACTAAAATACACACTTTAATGTTAGGTTTTTAATCCTCAAACTTTGGGTGTTAGATATGTAAATACATAAGAATTGTGAGGTATATATGTAAATTACCTTCAAGAAAATGACCCATAGCTCAAATGGGACCAACACACTATATCATACAACACAATTCTTATTTATTTATATATCTAACACAAAGAATTTGATATTTATATTTATAATTTTTTGGTGACATAACCTAAACATGCAAATGTGCATTTAAATCAATAATAATATTAAATATTTTAGTGTTATATATGTAAATAAGAAATTTTTAGTATTAAACTACTTATAACAAAAAATTTGTGTGGTATATATGCAAATACCCATTTTATTTATTATAGTTAATGCAAGCATAGAAAGCACCATAAAATAATCATTTTTTACTTATTTATAAAACTAACGGAAACAAGGCTACATATATAATATTTGATTTTTATATATTAATTTAATATAAAAGAAAAACTATTTTTTTTTTCAACTTAGGATCTGTTTGGGACAGCTGCAGCTTATTGAATAATCTGTTGATAAGCTAAGTGCGATAACTATTACAAATTTTTATTTTTTTGGAAAAGTCAGACCGCAGCCAGAAAGCTGGTGCGGTGTGAAAACACTGATTTCAGTTTTTTGAAAACACATAAGCTGCCGAAACAAAGTTTACCCAAACAACTCAAGTGCGTTTTCAAAACGCCACCGCACCAAATAAACTGCCCCAAACAAATTCTTAGTTAAGCTTGTTCTTAATATTTAACATGTGATATTAATATTAGGGGCAATTACATTCATACCAACCAATTATCATGTATTTACATATCTAACACCTAAATTTTTGCTTTTTATATTTATACCACCTTGATCTTTCATATCTCATCAATGACACTATCATTTTAATTTTTAAAGAAAGAAATGCATCTTTTCAGGCAAAAATAAGATTAGTTTTGATACGCCACTACCAAATTTTCATCTTCCGACACGAATTTCGACGCAATATTTTGAGCAAGAAATATTCATATCTCGATAAAAATTCATCTAGAGCTCCGATTTCAGTAAACTTATAGTCAAGCTGACTGGCTCGATGAGAAAGACCCAATAATATCAAGGTTAGTCCAATGCAAGTCAAATCAAACCCAAATCAAACGATTAAATCATTCTTGGAAGATTTCTGGACACATTTGAAAGATCAAACGAATGTCGAATTCAACAAGTTCATAGTCGAATCGAGCGTCTCGACAAGACAAATCCAATGAGCCCAAGATTGCTCAATTCTGACATCGTTAAAACACTCAAATGTTCATCAAACGTCATCCGATCAAGGAAAGCTCTCCGAACTGTCCGATCGAAATGATTAATATTCCTGCATTAATTACACCCAGAACACTATAAATAGAGCCCCACCCCTCACATGCGACAAGGAGACTTGAGAGAGAACTTCAGACTTTGAAAAGGAGCTTAAGTCTAACATCATCCCAACAACCGTTGATCGCCGTCGATCATCACCGATCGTCATCCGCCGACCGTCGTCAACCACCGCTGACCTTCGTCGACCACCGCTGACCAGATGCCGTCAGCCAACGTTATACCTTGAAAAGCTATTAAATTTTTCTCGTCTATGGGACGAGAGGTCTCTATAATCATTAATCAATAGTTGATTCTCGCAATTGAGTCAGACCCATGATTTTTTCCCTTTCTGGGTTTTCCACACAAAAATTTCCAGAGTCATCACTGTTTGTTTCTCTTTCATCTGTGTGTGTGCTGAATTTTCATAAAACGCTAAAAAGATAATCCGTTACTTTACCGCCACAAATTTTCTAGCACGCATCAAATTTGTATGCAAAAAGTGAATTTTAGGTGTTAAAATTGTGCAAATGCATAGGAATTGAGTGTCATGTATGTAATTTTTTTATAATAATATTATTACACTCATTTGAATAAATTCATGAATTTCACTTTATTTAGTGCACCGATTAAGTTCTTTTCTAATTTTTCAAAAATGCCCTGCCACGTGGCATATGTACATTCAAATGCCTCCGAATTGCAGATCAATTTGTAAAAACATTATTAGCTACCATTAAGGCGGTAAGAAAAAGCTCTTTGTTTGAGAACAACTCAAGTTCAGTTTGTTCGTCATGTAAACAAGTCGAACACGAATAATTATTTTAATCACTACTCGAACATTTATTTTAAACTCAAATTATAAATGAGCCGAACACGAACAGTTCTTGATTCGCTCGTGTTCGGCTTGTTTTAGCTCGAAATAAAAAGATTATATTAATTTATATAATAATATATTATATACATTTATATCTAAATTTAAATCATAACAGATTCTGTGCTAATGTGATTATATATCTTATTGTGCATAAATTTGGTCAAGATTCAAATCCAACACACTATATCTATAACTAAACTTGGAACACAAGACTTATTTACACCTAATACCTTGTTCAAGTAGGAAGATTGAAACCAACAATACAAATTGCAGAATAGAAGAGATTTTAATGCCTACTGCCAAAAGTATCTCATATATTTTCATATCTAACATCAATATACTAATATTTATATAAATAACACTCAAATATTTAACATCCCAAACTTTTGATGTATAGTTATGAGATTATAACACAAAAAGGTTGCATATATAAATAACATCATTTAGATGTTAGATATATGATACATAATAATTTTTTAAATTTTAATAAAAAAAATATTTGGTGGTGGAATAATAATGTGCAAGAAAATATAAAATATAAGTTGTGTTATAAAAATTGGTTTAAATATAAAAGTTTAGAGAACTGAGAAAATATAAGGTAACCCGTATGGAGTCTAAGAGAACATGTTGTGACGCTAAAAATTTTTCTTTTAGTGATCTTTATAATAGATTAAATACTAAGGAGAGTGAAAAATATATGTACAAACTAGTCAAACAGAGAGAAAAAAAAATAAAGATTTAATTCAAGTAAAATGTATTAAAGATGAAAATCACAAAGTACTTTTCTTAGAGAAGGATACTCAAGATAGTTGGGTGAGCTATTTTGATGAAATTTTCAATGAAGTTCCTGAAAATATGACCGAACTTAGTGATATTAATATCGTTAATAATAATCAAATATTTTATTTTGACTGTTTCATTACTAAAAAAGAGGTTGAGGAGGCTTTAAAGAAAAATGGTGGAAAATAAATAAGAGCTGATTTATCCTAATTGAAATGTGGATATATATGTGAGATTTGGGAGTTTTTTTTGGCTTACTAAACTCTTTAAAATTATTTTAGAAACTAAAAAGATTCCTAAGGAGTAAAGGAAGTCTATCTTGGTCCCCATTTTTAAGAATAAAGGGGGTGCACAAGCATTTGTAAATTATAGAGGAATTAAGTTGATGGGTGGTATTTTAAAATTATGCGGAAGGATAATTGAACATAGGTTAAGACGTGATACAAAAATTTCTCATAATTAGTTTGGATTTATGTCGGGCAGGTCTGCCATGGAAGCTATATATTTATTGAGAGGTTTGATGGAGAAGTAGAGAAAGAGTAAGGAGGTTCTTCATAAGATTTTTATTGATTTAGAAAAAGCTTACAATCAGGTTCTAAGAGAAGTTCTTTGGAGAGTTTTAGAGAATAAAAGTTTTGATATGACTTATATTCAAGTTATTAAAAATATGTATGTTAGAGCTGTAATTTGTGTTCAAATAGAAGGATAATTGATAAAATATTTTCTTATTTCAAATGGATTATATCAGGGATTGACTTTAAGCCAGTATCTTTTTACTTTAGTTATGAATGCTCTTACAGGACATTTAAAGGAGGATGTATCTTGCTGGATGATTTTCACTGACAATATCCTTCTTGTGGATAAGACTAAAGAAAAAGTTTAGAAAAAAAAAAAACTTGAATTATGTAGGTCTAACTTGGAGTCTAAAGACCTTCATTTGAGTAGATCTAAAATTGAATACATGGAATGTAATTTTAGTAATAGTAGCTCTAGTGACGGAGTTGTAACTATGGGTGATCGAATCATTAAAAAGGTGTGAACGTTTTAGATATCTCGGGTCTAATGTTCAAAGTGATGGTGATGTTATTAGTAGAATTCAAAATTCAAGTTGAATTCAAGTTGATTGGTTGAAGTGGAGGAATGCATTGGGCCTTTTGTGTGATAGAAAAGTACTGCTTAGACGTAAAGAAAAATTCTATAAGATGGTGGTGAGACCTGTGATAATCTATGGATAAGAATGTTGGCCTTTAAAAGAGAAGCATAAAACAAAATTAAATGTTGCTGAGATGAGTATGCTTAGGTGGATGAGTGGCTTGACACTTAGAGACAAAATGCAAAATGAATATATCAATGATAGGGTTGGTGTAGCTCCAGCAACGGACAAAATTAGAGAGAGCCGTCTTATATGATTTGGTTACGTTAAACATCATTAAGGAGTAGATTTTTTAAATTTGACTTATGTTAAGAAAGACAAAGGTAGATCTAAAAAGAATTGAGCATATTGTATAAAAATTCATCTTAGTAGAATTAAATGAAAATATGACACTCAATAGAACAAAATGGAGAAAAAAGATTCATGTAGCTGACCCAATTTAGTGGGATAAATGCATGTTACTCTTGTTTTATAACATACCCGAGCACCAAACCATTCTACAGTAATAATTAAATTATCTTCAGCTTAAAAAGATAGTAAATAATTAATTTTAAAGGCATTATAATGTAACCTTATCTAGTTATAAAGAGTGAAATCTAGAAATTGAAATAATGCAATTAAGCAAAATGCTTTCTCCAAAATAAGATTCATTCCATTGCTGTGAGCACTAACATGGCAACAGCTGATAGAATCGAAGGCAAGGGAGAGAGGGAAGTTTTAGTACTTGTCTGAAGCTTTTCCTTCCATGTGGGATCTAACAGAGTTATAACAGCTGGGTGGTACCTGAAACAATTTTGAATTTTTCAGCATTGCATCCACTAATAGAAAAACTAAATATATAACATTTGAATATGCTTTAGCTGTTCAATATCAGGCAGCAATAAATAGAAAGGATATTTACATACATACCACCCAATTCTGATATATTTACATATCTAATCTAAACATTATTTTTACATTTATAAGGCATTTACCTAAACAACATACAATTTCTATACATTACATATCTAACACTCAAGCTTTACGTTTTACATTTATGCCAACCAACTATTTCATATCACATAAAAAAGCCACTATTTTAACTTTGAAAATGTGAAATACACCTTTTAATGCATAGGGTGGCATATATGCTAAAATTGAAGATAAGGTGTTACATATGTAAATTCATAGGAATTAAGCGGTATCTATAAATCTTGCGACAATTATTCAATCCAAATCATTCATACCACATCAAAAAAGCCATTATTTTAACTTAAAAAAAAAGTTGAAACACAGCTTTTCAAGCATAGGTAAGGTGGCATATATGTAAAAATTGAAGTTTAGGTGTTTGATACGTAAATACATAAGCATTGAGTGGTAAGTAAATCTATATAAATAGCAATATATGTTAAGATAATTCTGATCAGTTATTAATCATAAACTGACGTGTTAGAGATCATTGGACATATCTATAACAGGTAATAAGTGTTCTAAAGAAACATCTTTAACAATCCAAAAAAACAACTAGCTTTATGAACCAAGCAGCAAAAGATACTGTCTATAAAAACAAAAATAGTTATACATCAATCTGTTGAGGAAAGTGGAGATTTGGTCAACTGCAGTTTTGGTAATAATTAAATGTGCTAATTATGATATTAATAAGCCTTCCTTTATTATCCTCCCGTCAATGCTTCTCCAGATTTCGAGATTAAAGCCAGGAATTTGCATGAGGGATATTCGCAATTAAGGTTCTCCTTAATGGGTCTAAAAGAAGATTTATAAATACCTTTGTGTTCACAGGAAGGTGATTAAGCATGCGATTAAGCTTATGGAAGAATTAAATATCGTATAGTAGTTGCTCCCTTGTCTTGGTCGTTCGGTGCGAAGCTAACGAGGAAAAAGAAAACTGCTTTTCTTTTGTATTCTTCTTCTTCTCGTGTAGCTCTCGAGTGGCTCTCGGCTTAGAGTGACAGAGAGAAGATGAAGAGAGAGAGAGAGAGAGGAGGATAGAGAGAATTTTTATCTTGTAATAGCGAGTATAATTCTCAAAATAATAAAATCCTCTACAGCTCCGTGGATGTAGACAATTTGTCAAACCATGTAAAATCTGTGTGTTTCGCTTGTTTCTATTTTTGCAATATTTCTCGATCCAGTTTTTTATTTTATTGTCGTCGTTTTTTCACAACAACTAGTATTAGAGCCGTGGTTTCGGATCCAAGGAAAAACGATGGCTGAAGACAAAGTGATGACATCAGGAATCGGAAAGTTTAATGACACGGATTTTGGTTACTGGATGATACATATAGAAGACTATCTTTATGGGAAGAAACTTCATCTTCCGTTATTGGGAAAGCGACAAGAAAATATGGATGAGGCGAAATGAAATCTGTTGGATCAACGGGTTCTGAGAGTTCTTCGATTGATTCTGTCAAGATTCATTGCACACAACATCATTAAGGAAATAATTACTGCAGATCTCATGACAACTTTATCAGGTATGTATAAAAAGTCATCGATAAATAACAATGTGCACTTGATGAAAAAGTTATTCAACTTGAAGATGGCGGAAAACGTGTCTGTTGCTTAGCATCTGAATGATTTCAATACTATCACAAATTAATTTTTGTCTGTGGAAATTGATTTTGACGATGAGATATGTGCGCTGATATTGTTGGTTTCATTGTCAATTAGCTAGAAAGCCACGAGGATGACAGTTAGCAGTTCTGTAGGTAAATCTAAACTGAAATATGATGATATTCGTGATTTGATTTTGATTGAGAAGGTGCGCAAGAAAGATTCTGACGAGACCTCGAGTTCGAGTTCGATACTGAATGTTGATTCCAGAGGGAGATCACAGGACAGGAACTCAAACAGAGGAATATTAAAATCAAAACTTGGTCAGCAGACAACCTACAAGAATTGGCAAAAATGATCACATAAAAAAAAACTGTAGGAATCTTAAAAAGGAAAATGATAGCGCTAATGTTGTAACTGATGAAATACAAGATGCACTACTGTCGGCAATTCATAATTTTGTTGATAACTGGATATTGGATTTAGAGGTTTCCTTCCATATATCTTCCTGCCGAGAGTTAACGTGAAATTATGTTTCAGGTGAGTTTGAGAAGGTATATATGACTAATGGAAAAACTCTGAACATGGTGGGGATGAGAGACGTTGATATTTCTCTCCCTGACAATAGCAAATAGACTTTGCAAAAGATCAGACACATTCTTGAGTTGAAGAAAAATCTTATTTTTGTCGGGTAGCTCAATGAGAGTGGTCATTCGGTAGTGTTCTCAGATGACACCTAGAAAGTTACCAAATGAGCATTAGTACTGGCACGGGATAAGAAAACTGACACACTATATATGACAGGTTTACTCAACACTGTTGTTACTATAGTTGCAGAGAGCACGACAAATTTGTGGCTAATACAGTCAGAGTTATAAAGAAAACTTGCAAGATGAAAATTCAAGCAAGAGGAGCTAGCCATGAAATAGGAGATGGATTCTCTGCCAGAGAATCAGACTTGGGAGCTGACAGAACTTCCATCAGGGAAGAAGACATTACACAACAAGTGGGTGTACCAGATGAAAACTGAGCATGATGACAGTAAGAGGTACAATGCTGCACTTGTTGAAAAAGACCTTCTGCAGAGACAGGATATTGCCCATGCAGTGGAAATTGTAAGCAGGTAATGAGTAACCTAGGAAAGAGCTTGAAGATACAAGATTACGTTGACGCTGGTATGTCAACTAAGGTTGTTACTATTGAAAAACTGAAGTTGTGTGCAACTTCAGTGGGTCTTCTAGCTTGAATATAAGAGTTTCGAGTTGCAGAGTTGAAGAATATCATATTTGAGGAAAGAGGAAGGTGTAGTCGGTGGTTAATACAGTCAGTGTCTCAGTTTTCAAGTACAAGAATTGTTGAGGAAAGGGAAGATTTGGTCCACTGCAGTTTTGATAATAATTAAAGGTGTTAATTATGATATTAATTAATTTTCCTTAATTATTCTCTCGCAAACGCTTCTCCAGATTTCGCGATTAAATCCAGAAATGTGGAGGGATTTTCGCAATTATGGTTTTCCTTAATGGGTCTAAAAGAAGAATTATAAATACCTGTGTTCACAAGAAGGTGATTAAGCATGTGATTAAGCTAACGGAAGAATTAAATATTGCATAGTAGCTGCTCCCTTGTCCTGGCCGTTCGGTGCGAAGCTTACGGAGAAAAAGAAAACTGCTTTTCTTTTGTATTCTTCTTCTCGCGTAGCTCTCGGGTGGCTCTAAGCTTAGAGGGAGAGAGAGAGAAGGTGAAGAGAGAGAGAGGAGGAGAGAGAATTCTTATCTTGTAATTGTCGGGGTGATCGACGAGTGTAATTCTCGAAGTAATAAAATCCTCTGTCGCCCTGTGGACGTAGGCAATTTGCCAACCACATAAAATCTGTGTTTTTCTCTTGTTTATGTTTTTGTGAATTTTCTCGATCCGGTTTTTGTTTTATTGTCATCGTCTTTTGACAAATATAATCTGCTGAGAAAAATCTTTTTTAACTTCACTATTCTTTAACGTGCGATCCCTGTTTGACTATAGTTAAGAATTTAAAGATTTTTAAAATTCAGCTAAAATTTTTTTAAAGTTTTATTTAAAATAAAATAAAGTTTGAGCCCATATCGACTAGACGTGAGAATGAGTTCATATAAATACAAAATAACTTAAGCTGAGAAAAATCTTCTGCATTATTCATTATGTCGAGTGTTTGGGGTGCCAAGGGAAAATCATTTCCTAATTCTCTTTTTTATTATTATTTGGATACTTTCATTTCTTGTCCTTATCTTACCATCATAATTTGATTTGGCTTAATTACTGATATTAATTTATTCAAATTTAGTATGTAAAAATTCAATTTGTAAAAATTAAATTACTATTGTTCATGAATTGTACGTGGTTCCAAGTTCTTGTTTTTCTAAATTATTTTGCCTATTTTGATATCATTTGAATTTTAGTTCTAGCATTATGTATTTACATTTTGTTGTTGAATCAATTAATAACTCATGAACCGTTAAGTTTTCAAATTCCTTTATATCAATTCCTACTACGCATCTTATTAGTCGCGTTAGAAGCCCATAAAATCCTAAGTCATCCAACACCAAATTAATCTAAGAGAATAATGTCAACTAAAGGTAAGACACTTGACAAGGTCTATTAAAAAAAATAATTAATGTTACAATTTAAATAGAATCAGGTAGCTCATCATTCTAGACCATTAAAAACAATTATCGAAAGATTCAAAATTAGATCCAAGCATTTATCGGGCAATAAAGATCTTCGAAAAAGTTAAGAGTAAATTACTGAATTGAACTTTTTTTCAAATACAATCCATCAAATTACAAAAAGGTTGAAGAACATGAATCAACTAGCAGAAAACGCTTCATCACTTTGGTGAAATATAAGTCGTTATATGTTAATATGAAACTATACTCAACAAAATTAAACTTGTCAAAAAATCAAATAGATATGATGAGCTAGAGTATTATGTGAGGTTTACAGATCTTATAGCTTAGCATTACTTGTGTTAAGATTATTTTGTTGTTATTATTTATTTCATTAATGATCTTAAGCAAAAAATTAGAGATACATTGAGCAGGAATTCATAAATAATAAAAAAAAACTCTATATTTTATACATACCTTTCAATATTAAGCAGTATCACTATCATTTTTTATGAAACTTTCACACTTTTGATTGAAGCTCCAAAGAAAAATCAATACAACAACAACAACAAGAAGCCTTTTATCCCACTATTG